TATTACGGCGAGGTATTTCTACGCCCTCGCGATGACAGTTGATAGGAATAATGTAAGTACAAGCGGACAAATTTTGATTCAAGCTCTCGTCTTTTTGATTTTGATTCGAATTTGTTTAGGAAACATAGATGGCGGGTTAACGATTACGCTGAAATTGAAAAGCGTGCTTACGTGCTTATTTAAAAAGTAAACTTTTTAGAGGGCTTTTTGTATACACAAGCACGCACGCAGATGTCGAGAGCTAATTGAAGTCCTAGAGGCTCTCATTATTTAGTTAGTACCTACTTAGGTACTACTTTCGTAACAACTTATAAATATAATTTTATGTAATTTTTGTATTCTATCACAACCACTATATGCCATAACTTTATTGCTCTGCTTTAGTGAACGCCTAGTGACATGCAATAGCGGTTTTTTTCTAAACCTAATCTCGGGCACCAGTCTCTCACAAACCAACACGCCCGATTTTGTTATATTCTGCTAGTTTTGAAACTCTTAATCTTCTCTGTGACGAGAATAATAAAACAATATTTTATTTCATTAATAATTCCAAACGCCGTCTTTAGTTTTTGTCAAAGAAATCCAAATCCGTAATTTGAATTGGTCAATAAATTCACGTCCGTACTCCCGGACTGTACTCTGCGGTGGAGTTGGCGATCAAAAATGTAAACAACGATGCTATTATATTTTAAGAATTGTGCAAATGACATAAATCCGTCGAAAACTGTTTCACCAATTGCGTTACGTTATATTCACGTGACGTCACGTTATATTAAGTTTATTGATACTCAATCAATGATTTTTTTGTGAAATGACTTTTTTTACAATATCAAGTGACGAGACGTACAAGTAATCCGCCTGATGGTAAATTACACGCCTGTCCGTAACAGTTGCAGTGCCACTCAAATTAAAATAAAATTTAAATCACAAAGCTTTGAGGGGCATTACCACTGCGCCCGTCACCCTGAGACATAAGTTGACAACTCCCATGTGCCTGTAATTACACGGAACACAGTAATGCTGATATTACAGTTTGGTGATAGAAATAGATAAGGTGGCAGTACTTCCCTAGACGAGCTCTTTCACAAGGAGTTCTACTGCTACGAAACTCCACTAGTTTGTTATAATTATTAATAACAAAGATCCAACACACGGAATTCGCTGGATTCAAACCATCACCCTCAGGCAATCCGTGCCACATGCTCTGTTAACTGGCTACGGAACGAACCAGCAGATCTTGCGAATTCTTGTTGATGCAGATCTTCATTTTTGGTTTTTAACGATTTTTATGCTTAATTATTTTTTGTGAAATTACTACACAAGTTTCTCAATACAGAGTACTCAAAAAACCGACCTCAAAAATACGTGGAATTGCATATAATTGCCAAGTTTTATTGAAATAGGTTACCGGAAAGAGCATAAACCCGGATTCATCCCATAGTTCGCCACTATACGGGGCTTGATACAGGAGGTAATAAAAATCGGTTCTCACTACTCAAAATACATTGAGAGAGAAAAACGCCCTGAATTGGAGAATAGCAAAATCAACCATTAAAATAATTGCTTCTTATAATAAAATTAAGGCGCTATTTATAAAAAATGATATTTTATGCGTGAACAGCCACCCTTAGAGGTGGATGATTTTCTTCAAAATTAAATGGGACCACTATGGAGGTACCCTCTTTCCAACAAAAAAAGAATCATGAAAATTGGTTCACAAATACCGGAGTTATCGCGTAACATACATACAAAAAAAACATACCGTCGAATTGAGAACCTCCTCCTTTTTTTGAAGTCGATTAAAAAGATCGAACACAAAGAAAAAATCATTAGATGCGGCTGGCCTCCAACCTGCGCCTTCACCAAAGCGTGACTGACGCTTCCAACTGAGCTACGAAACGAACCAGCAGCGAAAGGATTTAAAAACTTAATTCTTTTGCTATTACTATTAAAAATCAAGTCGTTTCAGACACAAAACAATCATATACTCTTAAGAATGTAAACTGTTACTTTTAATTCTCAAGACTATTACATCACTGCAGCCGACGCTTGCAGTTGAACCCTCGACTGCCCGCAGTCTCAATTTCATGCTGTTGATCATGCTTAACCATTGCAGCCTAATGTGTCACAGGCGCTAAAGCAGAGGCTGTGGTTTCGAACCCGGGCCTCTGACTTTCTCGGTGAAGGAAAAGGAAAACATCGTCATGAAACCAGCACGTTGAAGAAGGTGCACAACCCGTATTAGGACCGCCATGTGCTCACTGCGACCTAAATCCTCGCCCGATAGGAGATCTACTATAATATTAATAAATATACAACAAAATATAGAACAGACAAAATTGTCTGCCCCATCCAAGCACACTGGAAGAAACTTCATGTGGCGGTTAAGTTTAACTTTATGTGTTAGATTAATTTCAATTTTATATTTAAACAATCTCATTTTTATGTTTAATGTTGTAATTATTCGTGGTTGTATGTTTTTTGAATTATAATTGTGTAATCTAAATTTATTTTAATATTATCTTATTTTATTTTAATTTTAGCATTTGAATAGCATTATACCCAAGTTCTTTACTAACAAACTATGGATAATTGGTTTTGATCCGAAATAAAGTTGATTTACTTCACACACAACTCTATAATATATATAATAATATAACCTTTAACATTATGTTGTTAGGCAAAACTTTGTTGTAGGCCAAAACAAAAAAAAAATTGTTATCTGTAAAGGCTAGAGTCTAAACTAGGATACCCTGTGCTATAGGTCTCCAGACTTCTACCTACGGATAAAATATTCTGAAAACAATGACTACGACGGGAATTATTCATGTGAGAGATGAGCAGAAATTTCATTTAAATAAAGCTAAATTTGTTATAATTATTAATACAAAGATCGAGCACTTAGAAAAAGTTTTTTCGATCCGGCCAGATTCGAACCGACGTCTTCGAGCATACCGCGGCAGACGCTATACCAACTAAGCCACGGAACGAACCAGCGGACTTCACGAATTTTTCTATGTGTTTGCGTCGTATCTTTATATTTGGTTTTGCAACGTCTTTTTAGCCGCAGCGCCATCTATGAGAAATTTATGATATTTCCTCATTACTTGGTATCATAGATTTAGTATATAGGCTTGGTATAGTGTCTGGGACGGTATGCTAGAAGACGTCGGTTTGGAATTTTTTCTGAGAGTTCGATCTTTGTATTAATAATTATAACAAACTAGTGGAGTAATTTCACATAAAAATAATTGAATATCAATTCAATAAAAATTTAACAGTGTGTGTGTGTGTATGCGCGCACGTGTCTGTGGCACGTTAATTAATTAATAATTGTTCAGCACGCTTCAGCGTATAGGTATTCCTTAAGATGGAATATGAAACAAGCCTTCGTAGTCCTCAAAAGACATAGTCAATAACCGGTTAGTGACCAAATTCTTACTTTGAAATTTGTTTAGCGGATAGTTTTGCAATTTTCTGTTACATTTATTGTATAGGAAGATCCCGAAGAAGCCGAAGAAGTTGAATATGATGATGACTTGCCGCCAGAGAGTTCGAACCTTCGATCTCTAAACTGGGAAGCGAACGTTCTTGGTATTAATAAAAAAAAATAAAGAATAAAAAACTAATATAATTAAAAAACCCATTTATTTCTTTCCCGCCGGAACATCACTGAAGTACTTACACTTAAATCATTTACAATTTACACTTCTTACGCCTTACACTCTCGCAACAATAATAATATTCTTGACAGCTATAATTTCATGGCTCTAATCATACCCAGAACGGCAGTTGATGTTTCCTCTTTCCCATACGTTCAAATGTAATAAAAGAGACAACTGAAGCGGTGGCGACGTCACCGTTATGAATATAATTTGAACCATACACTGTGAAATTATATTTAAGTCCATATGATAAAAAAATTGGTCTTTAACATAGTTAAAATTCCGCAACATAACAAAGGTTAAAATCGAACTACTGTAGTAAAAACTAGGTGATTACTCAACCGACCGACAAGATTAAAAAAATCAACATCCCATTTAAAAAAACAGCAATCACAATTGACATGTATACATAGTTAACATAAAACACATAGGTAGTTATTATATTTTGTCGAGCGGTTAAAAAATATTTTTCAAGAATTAAACTTGATTTAATTATATAAAAAAGTATGAAATTAGGAAAAGTTGTAGTAAGTACAAAAAAGTTTACATAAAACGTAACCGCAAATCAAAATATAATAAACGTTTAATTTCTTTTATAATTTCGATATGCCCCTAGATCCGTAAGTTAAAAAAATACGTCAATAGAAAAAAATAATATTTATATATAAACTTTTAACAGCCATTTTGATAATCTCATATAAAAATCATAACTTCTTATTACTAAAAAAACATTCTTAATTCTTTTTTAATATTTGTTATTATGTATTGCCTACGTCATCTGTTTAGACAAAAAACTAGTATAGATTGCAAACTTGGTAGAATGTAAACTTAGTTTTTTTACTGTCTGTATATGTTTTGGCATGTGTTGAAGGTAATTGAGATATTTTCTATATGGTACTATTGTTACGTTAAAACCTGTTTAAAATAATATTTTTTGGCTATTCTAGAAATTTCAAATAGCTATAATTTAAACTACAAATAAAACATTTTTTTTTTAATTTTCTTAACGAAATTGAACCTTAAGATAGTTATTTACAAAGTCAAAGTTATTCTTAAGATATGGTATCACAAGCTAATGAAAATTGGTCATAAAGATTTATTTAGAGATATTGAGGGAGGCCTATCACCCCACAGTACGTTACTAAGATACAGGGTGAATTTAAAACAATTCAACTTTCGCCAGAGCCCTCTCTCACCTTATAAAAAAATATATATATGATATAGTTTGAATCTATCTAAAAACAATAATAATAAGAGTAGAATAAGAATCAAAAAGTTATAAGTATGACAAAACGTTCCTAGCAAGTCATATAAAAATTAATTTCACCCTGAAAGCGAACTAATAAAAAAAGTACGAAAGGAAGTCATGTACGTATGAATATTTGGGATAATCTTATAACCGATGTTTTGATCCAGTTTTCACTGCACGTTAAAGCATTTTCTGAGGAAGTTCTTTTGTTTCATTAAAAAACATCTATTGGTCGCCATGTTGGTCATTTACGATTACACGAGTACATATGTCTTTAACTGTCGAAATCGAAGAAATACACTAACGCAGCGGAAAGAAACGCGCGTAAATTTTGTACGCGCAATAGAGTTCTATCATTTTAACGCATGTAAGTAATAATTCGTAAAAATCGGAAAACAGCTCGCGGTTTTTTTTTTATTTGAATGTATCCGTAGCACATGGCGGTCAATTAAATTGTATATAGGGTGTAAGAAATCGTAAAACTATAATCAAGTCTCAACAAAATTTTCTTACACCCTGTATTGTTTTATTTTAAAAAACACATCTATCAGTTGTCATCATTGTCTGATGTTCCAGTGGAGGGGGTGACCGCTTCTACGACCGTGGAGGGGTCCTTCTCGAGCGGTCGGAATGACCAGCTGCCTGCGCCGTCGAACTCCAGGACGTGCGTGTGGTATTTCCTAAGGAGTAGGGACATTTTAGACATTTTATCATAGTATACAATTTTTTTATAAAATAATATGAGGAACTATATTAACTGCCTCCAAGGCCGAACGGTTGCCATGCTGGACTGCCACACAGAGGTCCCGGATTCGATTCCCGGGCCGGGAGAAATATTTGTATGGCCTACATTTATTTCTCTCGTGAGTTTGGGTATGATTAGTGGTTGTATGTATGTGACCATAGCTACCGCGACAGTGGGTTTCCCTAGTGTAGGGCTATGTTGAGTGTGTGTGCGTTATTGATCCGTGAAGTACATGGTATAGGATTAAGTGTGGCAAAGGATATCGAGTAAATAGCCGCCACGGCTGTGCTGGCACATTCGCACTATTTTTATGAAATTTTCGGTTACCATTTTGCATAACATGGTTTCTTCATTCAAAACGTGGGTGGTCTTGGGCTTGATTGCATAAATCTTCGATTTCAAATGGATTAGACCGTTAGTTTTTTTTTCTATTGGAAATAAACAGTCAGAAGATATTTATGTTTACATACCACACGCTGGGGCGATGTGTGATGGAAAGCAGCGTGATGCCCTCCTTGACTGCCTCCTCGTACATCACAACCTCCGTCTCCATTGACACCGCGCTGGTGCACTCGTCCAGCAGTGCGTACACCGGCCTGTGGACGAGTTACGCGTTATTGATATAATCAATCAATAATATATTTTTTCTACTTCTGTTTTAATCTGTCATATATAATTTCATAAAACGTGACATAAAGGCGCTCTTTTTAGCTTTGGGTCAAAATTCTGTTGTCTGTGGCACTCGCAACTGAGCTGAAAAATGTCATCTAAGTTCTGTACACAGAACTATAATAAGTTTAAAAAAAAGAACGTATTTTTGCCATTGACTTACAATTATATGGACGTCGGGTCCGCGCTAAAAAGTGTCCGCACTTGTAAGGCGCTAAAATCGTATACAGAGCACCAAACTCCGCTTTAGTCTTCATTTGTTCTACTGACAGCGCGATACTGCGATTACATTACAATTTAAATTTCGAATAGGTTGACTTGGGACATTTTTTTCGTGGTTTTTGTATTAGACCCGTCGTCCATTTATTTGTAAGTCAATAATTTTCGCTAATTAAAATATCAATTAGGACGCAACTCAAAACGACATACTGCCTCCTGATTGGTTAAATTGGCGTAAAAGTTCTGCAACCGGGGCATAAATATTTATGTAAAAAAAATTGTTAAAATATATGCGGTACATTGCCAGTTCTATTCTATTTCTTTGGTTTATGTTTTGTAGCATTTGTTTGGTTTTTGTTTAAATATATGAAGATGCTGTATGGTGGAACCTTCGCCTGCCCTAGTAAATTTTCAACAATGGTAACACTGGGGGTGGCGGGGTATAAACATACCAACCGTTCTGAACGAGCTCATTCTCTGGCCGAGCATCAAGCAATCAAGAATCCCTGAAGATGCCTCGTGGAGAGGCGAAATACGTATTTTTGGTGCTGATTTGTGACTGTAGTTGTTATTTATTTTATTAATTTTATGCGGAGTGAAAATGGGAAAATTAACTGCATGAAAAAAAAATTCAACACAAGTGCAGCAATTTTACACGATTTAACCTTGACTGGGTTCGCGAAGTAGAAGAAGAAGCGCGATGTATTAATTAATAATAATTGAGTTAAACTTTCTTAAAAAATAATAATAATTGTGTTTGTTGTCATGGATTGTTAACAAAATTTACACTAAATATTGGTTCTGTTTCATAACTTAATTTACACGTAGAAAAACTATTGTATGCAATCATTAAATAATTAGGTCTTAAAATCTCGTACCATTACTTAGGCCACGAGGTTCCATAAAATACTATTAATTTATTTCTAATTTGCTTTTAATCAATACATTTAATTCAGTAAAAATTCATTTTGTTAAAATATTTTGCAAAACGTATGTAAATAGCGTAAATTATAAAGTTCTTTAGTAAGTTAAAAGTAAGGAATATAAAACCTTTTGAAACTCTAATTCAGAATAAGATGGTTAGCATTAGTCTCAGTCAATCGTTTCTATGGAATCCGTAAATATCTCGAAACGTTGTTTTGTTAAAAAAAATATACACGACACTCAGAACCAATGCCCTTTTCAAAAACAGAGCTCCTTCACACTGATAAACACGTCCCTATTTCCAAGATTCCACTGACCTGTGGTAGAACATTCTAGCCATGGCCATCCTCTGCTTCTCCCCGCCACTGAGCGTGGACCTCCAGTCCTTGACGGCCCGTAGTCCCCCATGACGAGAGGCGACAGCATCAAGGCGCACTATGCGTAGTATATGAGCGGCCCTCGCTTCAGCTTCGTGGTCATTGGCCGCCGCGCGAGATGGATACGTCACTTGGTCGATCAGGGACCCCATCGACATGTACGGCCTGCAGGGTAGATAAGTCTATATAGCTATACTCGTGGGTTATTAAAACTTTTATAAAGTAGGTGCAGAGTTATCTAGAACCTAATATAGTATAAGTATGCGTGATGGAGAAATGGAATTACAGAATCAACAAGTATTTAATTTTCGTAAAACGAGTTATCTCGTTTGTAAATATATCCTAATATTGCACCCCTTATGGAAGAATGGCATAAGTGGAATTACGTCCACCATGTTTATTGCTCCATTAGATATAGAATAATCTCAGTGCAGAGTACTAAAAAAACCGACCTCAAAAGTACGTGGAACTACGTATATTTGCTAAGTTTCATTGAAATATCCCCTAGTTCGCCACTATACAGGACTTGATACTGGAGATAATAAAAATAGGTTCTCACTACGACACTACTCAAAGTATATCGAGAGAAAAACGCCTTGAATTGGAGAAATAGCAAAATCAACTAAATAATTGCTAAAAGTTATTGCTCCTAAATTAAAGTCAGGCGCTATTTATAAAAATGAAACGTCATGCGTGAACAGCCACCCTTTGAGGTGGATGATTGTCTTCAAAATGAAATGGGACCACTATGGAAATACCCCCTTTCCAACAAAAAAAGACTCATGAAAATCGGTTCACAAATACCGGAGTTATCGCGTAACATGCATACAAAAAAAAAAGAAAAAAAAAGAAAAAAAAAGAAAAAAAAA